GATTTTAACTCAAAGTTTCTGTCTTCAGTCTGATTCTAACTAAAGGTTTCTGTCTTCAGTCTGATTCTAACTAAAGGTTTCTGTCTTCAGTCTGATTCTAACTAAAGGTTTCTGTCTTCAGTCTGATTTTAACTCAAAGTTTCTGTCTTCAGTCTGATTCTAACTAAATGTTTCTGTCTTCAGCTGCAGACAGATCGGCCCTCTGGAGGGAAAGCTTTTCTCACCCAGTGTTTTCACGTAGGCTCGAGCCAGGCCCACCCCGCTCTTGATGTCACAGATGTAGGGGTACAGGTCGTACAGAACGCTGCGGTTCGGGGCGTTGGACAGACGGTTGAACATCTGCACCACATCTTCACATCTGCTGTCGAAGTGCTGAGCCTTGGAGTGCCACTCTTCTCTCTGAGGAAGGCAGCTGAATTGAGGGATTCCTGAGGACTAGGTGAAAAGGACTGGTAAAACCAGAGTTCCCTCTACCTCCTGGGTTTGTGCAGCCGCAGCCTGTCTGTGCTTCTTCAGCCAGTTCAGCTCCTCCAACATGGTCCTGGCTGTGGTCCCGTACTCGTACGGCAGGTAGAAGAGGTCTGACAGCAGCTTCAAGTCGTCCAGAGTCAGAGGCTCGGCCGTGTACAACGGGTTCTCTCCTGGACCAGGAACGTAAGGGTCCTCATGTGTCTGCAGGGGCTCCTGGTCTGAAGAGGCTTTCTTTAGGCCAGCTGGACCTGGAAGCACAGAGAGGCTTTCATTGATCCTTCCTGTTTGGGTTTCTGAACTCCTTCAACAAGCTTCCACAGCAGCCCACCTCTTTGTTGATCTGTGCTCATGAGCTCCTGCAGCCAGTCGCTGAGGGCCAGGGTCAGGGCCTTCTGGGGGCTGTAGCCGGGGTCTGTCTCTTCGTCCCCTGGTGTCGCAGTCGGAGACAGAAAAGCTCAGGACAAACTCAAAAAGTAGCAAAATGTCTCGATTTTACTGAAACTTTATCACAAGAACTTTTCCAAGTCAAAGAACAAACGGTCAAACTAAGAAAGGTTCTCTGGAGATCGTAACTCAAAGAGTTGTTACAACAAAACAGCTTCGTTATCATGATAAGATCTGTTATCTTCAGACGAGGACATGAAAATAAATGTTTAGCAGGTTTTATTTTGTCCTTCAGGACCAGATAAAGTCATGAGACAGAACGATCGGGCCTCTATAGTCTTTACTGGACAAAAGAAGCTTTTCCTTTTATTGATTCCTCTAATTTAAAAAGATCTTCTTTGCTTCTTTATGACCAAACAACAAGCCTTCATGTCTGAATCCTTCAGGCACAAAAAGCCAAAACATAAAAACATTTCTTATCGGAGTGAATTCCTCCTGAATCCTTGTTCAGAGCAGTGTGCAGAGTCAAACTGCAGCTCCACGTGGGTTCTGTTCAGTTCTGCAGCCTGCTCTGAGCTCAGCATATCAGGTCCTGCTGGATGAGTGTGAAGAGCTGCAGGAGCATCTTTAGATGTGAGGAACGCTCTGAGACATGTTGAGGAGTCTCACTGTTCCAGCATCTGTCTCTCTGCAGACAACATGTCTGATCAAACTCAGACTTCATCAAGTCCAGTCTTTTCATGCTGGACTGTGTTGTGCTGACCTCACCTGTGTGTGCTTCCTGGTTTGTTTATCTGTGTTCGCAACATTTCTCATCAACCACTGGATGGACTTTAATGACCTTCTTAAGTAGTAATGATTGGTCGCAAATTTATAAATTCATCAACTTTTAGAATCAGCTGAACTCAGCAAATAAAAAAATGGCTCAAATTCAGATTATTTTACAGATATTGAGCTCAAATCTGGGCTGGTGGCAGCAGAGAGTCACCCTTAACACCAACAAAAACAGCTTCTTTCATTGATTTATCTTCAATAAATCAGACGCTCACCCTTTTCCACATGTCTCCCTCCTTCAGTGGTGAAAGCTTTACACCAGGTTGCCAACGTGTGGACGGCCACAAAGTTTGGGTAAAACTCACAGTTGGGGTTTGAGAGAACTCCTCTGAGCTTCGGGATCAGCTCAGTGGGTCGATCCTTGTCAGAGGAAAAAGTCTTGTTTCTTCAGACGCTTCAACAACAACAGAGACTAATTACAGGAACTTACTTTGTATGGACCCAGGAAAAGCCTTTGTGGGTCGTAATCATTGGCTTGAAGATTGTCCCAGATGACCGGCGCCCTCTTCAGGACAGAAGACACCTCCTCTATGGACTCTACAGAAATCCTGTGGGACACCACCTTTGGACCTAAAATCAGAGATTATAATGAGGTACAGAAACATTCAGGCTTGTTTCAGGGCAGCTGGGTGACTTTACCCGTCCAGAGTATGTCGATCCCAGGCAGGAGCTTCTCTCCAACCGTGTTTAAATATGAAGACTGGGACACACTGGGGCTGCAGAATGCAGCACAGTAGTCTGGAGACAGCGGACAGATCAGATGTGATTCAAATTCAAGAAGAAAAACTTTTTCTAAAACAAAGAACTGAAGCTTCTAGTTGTCAGAAAACTCCTGTTCTGTTTATGTTCCTTGCTTTAAAACTCATTTACAACTGGGTGAAAAATAAAATGCCCAAACTGTTCTTGCTGACTGTAACTCTGCTCCTAACTGGACTGTTTATGGTCCAGGTTCTGCTCAGAGTCTCTGACCCGTGGGGCAGAAGAGGAAGGCCTCAGGTTGTCCCAGGTGCAGGTACACCTCATTGGTGACGGCCACCTGAGCGTGGGCGAAGGAGCTGAAGGCCTCTTTATCAGCTGCACACATTTCTGTCTCGATGTCATCAAAGAGCAAAGAGAAGGAGCTGCAGCCAAACTCCTTCACCTGAAAAACAAGCAGCTCAGTTTGCACCTACGCATGTCTGGATTACTGTCATTCCACCTTAAACTGTACAGATTATCAGATGAATGTTGAGTTTTTATCAAGAAGATAAATCTTTAGAGAACCATAAAACTAGATAGCAGCAGTAAGTAACTCATCTGCTGCTCCACCCTTCATCTCTTCTTCCAAAGTCCTACCTGATCCAGCTTCCTCTTCAGTGCAGACACTTCTTTGGGGTTAGAGAACGTGATGTCCAGACCGGGAGAGATGGCATAGATGAAGTCAACGTTGTGCTGTTTAGCTGCTGAAATCAGGGCAATCAGCTGCTCTAAAAATGAGGAGACCCAGAAGAAATGCTGTTCAGGTGGAGGATAATGAAAGTCATCAGCAGCTGCCAGCAAACATGGACAATTAGAAAACAGTTGGAAGCGTTTCATTTTAATGGAGCTGTCAGTTTAATGCAGATGTGCTTAAAGTCTGAATTACTAATATGTACATAACAGAGCCTATGAGCTGGCCCAAGGCCAAGGGACTGAAGAAGTCTTTTGGATCAGAGCCTCTTGAAGGAAGTGACCTTTGGTCCAAGCACTGAGATTTGGACTTTAGAGAATGTAGAGCATCTGATTTACCTGATAGTTTCAGCACTTAAAACAGTAAACTGTCAGAATGGCCTTTAATCTCAAACACCACTGAGAACATCCAGAGATGCACTTTAATTAGACTTTAATATATTTATATAGTTTAAACTGGGAGTTTAAACAATATTTATATAATTTAAACTGTGAGGTTAAACAACATTTATATAGTTAAACAATATTTATATAGTTTAAACTGTGAGGTTAAACAA